CTGAAGAATTTTTAATTTCTGACCAGCTTTATAAATTGTTATCTGAAGTAATTTGATCTGTTTTAGCGAAGAGAAAGACTTGTGTATTGACAGTTTAATCTTTAATAAGTGACTGGAAGCTATTGCTTTCTGATTACATTTTTTCTTCTTCAGATAGGAGAAAATGGAGATCCCAAAGCCTTTCTAATAGAAGTTTCTTGGCCAGAAACATATCCACAAACAGCACCAGTCATATCAATGGATGCTTTCTTCAACAATACAATGTAAGTATATTTGGTAGCTTTGCTCCCTAACTTTACTTGTGGGAGCCTTTTGGTTGATGAGCTTTTTTCTTCTGTCTAGATTATAGATGAATTCTATAATTTTTTTCAGATCTGCCGCTATTAAACAAAGTATATTGGATAAATTAATGGTAGAAGTCGAAGCTAATCTTGGAACTGCTATGACATACACACTTTTTGAATATGCCAAAGACAATAAAGAATCGTTCATGGAAAATCAGCCTGTTAACACTGTGGTAAGTTGATAAATTCACATTTAAATCCCTCACTTTTAATTCTGCAAAAGTAGTTAGTAAACCTTAGAGTACTTCATTGCTTTACTTTTAAGGTTTACACTCAGTATACTGACTAATATATGGCTGTGGCTAAACAGTAGCCCATAGATCAAGGTACTACAATGCTCTGTGGTAATAATTGTTATTTTGCTGTCATAGCAAAATGTGAATGGGCTGCAAAATGACATTAAAATGGAGACTTGGAACAGAAACAAAGCTGAAGAGAGCTGGAATAGATTAAATATGTCTGCTCAGGTGTCAATTATTGAAAGCTTCCTGGGATGCTGTGAATTGCGTGGATGTACCTTCAGGATCTTCTGCAAGTTTTGCAGCTTCTGTGTTTGCCTTCTTGTACTGCTTCCTCTTCAATGGCCTTTGTCATGCTGCAGACTTAATTTGAGGAAAAATGAATGTTTTTTGTATTTTGCAAGTCTGAATCCCTTCAGACTAAATCACACTTCACCATCAAATTTTGACAGTGTAAGAAGTGCCCCTTGGCAACTCTGAAAGGGAATAATTCCAGTCTCTTTGTCATGGTTCTTAAAGCTACTGCTGTCATCATTGTACGCTGATTAAAAGCTGCAGGCTGCTGATGGCTTTTCTTTTTTCACAGTAATCAGGCACAGAGGAAACTGTTTTTACTCTGTATTTATACTGGATTCTGGAGTATGATAGGTGAACTAGCATGCAAAATATTAACAACCACTTTTGCCTTTCTCAGACTTCAGTAAGCAATAATATTTCTATGGGAACTTCTGATGTGCCAGCAAATAAGAAAAAAGACAAAAAGGAACAGTTATCCAAAACCCAGAAAAGAAAGCTAGCTGACAAAACAGGTTTGTCCATTATGGTATTGTTATGTTTGTGCTGTGCAGGAGTCGAAACTTAACAGCTGTGTTGTTTTGGTAATTGGAATCAGAAGGCTCTTGCTTATAAGATTAACTGCTTTCAATGTAAAACAAGCAAAAGAAACACAGGTATGTGTTTCTTGCCTGAGATGATAGTTCTGGTAGAAGCAGTAAAAACTATAGAGTAGGGATTTTGAGGTGTTGTTGATTCAATTAAATTTTAATTTCATTTTGTTATTTCAGTATGTGACATAAGTGAAGTTTTCAAACATACCATTTGGGGAAAGCATTGGGGACATCCTAGTAGTCCCTTCCAACAGAAGGCTTATATTTTGTTGATAGGCCCTGATAAGTAATCCACGTTATTAAAAGTGTAATTTCTAAAAGAAAATGTTTGCTTGGAACCCAAAGTAGAACCTTTTAATTAGTTTGTATCCTCAAGGTAGAGGTGCTTCTGGAGTCACTTTGTGCTTTCAGTGAAATACTACGTTTTTTATAGAAAAGGGTTCAGTATTTTGGCTTAACTCTGAACAATTTTGTGCTTAGCCTCAGTTTTTAATAATGATCTAGGTAATGCTTAGTCAATGCAGCAAAAATTATATCTCACTATAGCAATTTCTAAGTATAATTTATCTAATTTAAATCCATGGCATTCTAAATGTGGATGTCAGGTGGGAAAACCTGGGTAAGATTTAGTTGAAAGAATGCATCACTAGTGGTTGTTTCAGCTCGTTTTAGAATTGTCTGTTAATTCAGGTGTAAAAGGTCTGAGAATTACTTTGAAGAACAGGATGCGTTCAGGACATGTATGTGTTCTTTGTCTTCAATGCTTTGTAATGGACAAACTAAGATTTGACTCTTTACAATTTTGTGTGTTGATTTTAATTTGTTTGTGCATTGAAAATAAAACCTTGTTATTCTGCAGATCACAAAGGAGAACTTCCTCGAGGATGGAACTGGGTGGACGTCATTAAGGTAGTACAGCTGTATGATAAGCAGTGCTAGCAACATACTGCCTCTGTGCATTTGAATTGATTTGTACATCTGAAGAAAGCTAATCTGATTTTTTTTTTTTTCCTATGCTGTTTGGATTTGCCTGTGGCATCTGATTTGTATCTGTGTGCATCCAGCATGTAAGTATTATCAAGTTATCCTTTAATATTAAAAAGATTTGCAAGCAATATTAAGAACTGTAAGTCTGTTGCTCATTTTAGATTCTAATCTGTGTAGTTTTCAAATGTTTTTCAGGCTTTGCTTGTTCAGTGGAAGTCAGTGTAGCTACTTGACCATTTTGATAGCAAGCTATTTTATTTTGCACAACTATAATTGCACACAATAAGGCTGTGGTTGTTAAGTGAGCAAATGATGGTGGTGGTTGTCGGCAGTTATCCTGAATTGAAAGTAGCTGTTTCTAGTGGATGACTTGGATTCCAGATCAATTTCCCAATAGGTTCACAATGTTTAATAATTATAAAATTAGCTTTAGGAAAAAAAAAAAGAGAAATAGTGTTTGGTTTTGTGTTGTGTGAATCTCTATGTGGAAGTCTCCCAGAGACGTGAGGGGGTGATTTCTCAATTGCTACATCTTTTATTTTGGAGAGCAGGTGACCTGATCTTCAAATTAAATAGACCTTGTACCCTAAGGTTCTTTGTGGTTTGGATGGTTGATTGGTTGGTTTGGGTTGTTTCTTTTGTTTGTTTGCTTTTCCTTAAAATCAGTTGCATTTTGTTTGTTTTTTTTTTTTTTTAAAAGCAGTTCACAAAATACATGAAGATAGGATTTCAGGTTCAGGAAATAAGCTTATTTAGTGCTTAAAGAAATTATTTTTGGTGCTTTTCAATCTCTTGATACAGTATCACATTCAGTCTATATTATTAATTAAATATACATGTGGTCTATGTAAGATGGAAATAATGTTCTTGTTTCCTAATAAATGGAATGGCAATCTAAATTTTGAACAATTTCTTTTTGTGTCTCTTCCGTAGTTAAGCAAAACTGGTTCTAAAGATGATGAATAAAGGACTTTGGTACATGGAAACTCAACCTCTTAATACAGTGCAATTTTGGGTCACCGTCTTTCTCTTAATAGCTTTCTTATTTGTTGAGGTAAAGGTTTTATAAAGCTCGATTTCCTAACTCATAAATCCAGACACACAAGTTTGTCTTGAGGCTGCGTGGTCTTCTTTGGAAACTAAACTTGCCTTAAATGGAGGTAAAAATGTGAACAAAGGATACAGAGGGTGAATGTGGTAAAATGAATAGTGCTATATGCAGTGTTTTTTAATTTATATCTTACTCTGTAGTAAAATCCTTTTGTAGTGAACCTGATGATACTGTAAACATTTCCCAATGTTGTTACTCCAATGGAAGAAAAAAGCACTATAACAGTGATTAGTCACTTGATAGCATAATTCATTAAAATAAATTATTCCATGGAAACAAAACTTTTGTCATTTGTTTATCTAATACAAATGTAGAAGAGCATAAAAATTGTTTCATTCTGAGGCAGAACTTGTTCTCTTTTCACTCGTTTTTGGCTGAAGTAGCAAACACTAGTGAAAGCAAGGACAAGTACTCTGGTTACTGAAAGAAATGAGAGCTTCCAACGTGAGTCTGCGTTCTTTATTCTCTGAAGTATGCACCTGTTAGTCTTTCTCCAGGGTGCATCTTTACAGAAGGTCGTGTGTTTGAAGGGAAAGAAGAGTGCAATCTGGCATGTCTCCCAACTGTTAGATTTTGTAGCTCTTTTATGAGAGAAGTGGGCATTCTTTGAAGGGTTTTGCTGGCTGAATGTTGGAACAGGCTGACAAGTCTGCGCTGCCAAATGTGTTGGGGAAACTTGTTTTCTAGTGTGCTCTTATCAGAAAGAGAAGTCATCTTTACCATATGAACGGTTATTGAATACAAAATGCCTTAATGTCCTTTATTTTTGTGTGTTTTGAGATGAACCTAAATAAATACCTATTTATCTGCTGTCATATGTGTTTTTGGTTTTTGGATTTGTATATTGCCTGCTGTATTTCTAGGGCTCCACTTGAATTTGCCAAGGATTTTCTCTTAGTGAGAGAGCGTTCCTAACGATTGGCAGGAAGATGCTTTCCCTCTTTCAGTGTACGTTTGCATTTCAGTGTGGCTGTGTTTGTTACTCATAGGAGGCAGTCACTCCAGTGAGAAACAGGAAAATAGCCATCATAGTGAGTCCAGCAGCTCTTGGAGTGTGTTCTGCTGTAGTGCTACGTAAAGCACTCAGTGAACATTGGAGGCACAGGCTGGATGCTCTGACTGGTGGTGGTCAGATGGGAGCCTGCGCAGCCAATATGGGATAGTTTACATGGCTGTCAAATTAGGGCTTCAGCTGTCAGAGTGGAAGTTCTTGTGCTACTGCTATGTCAGTAGAGCTTGCACACAAGCATTTACTGCAGTTCTCATATTCTCTTAAATTATTTCTCTTTTACCATATGTATTGCAAAATTATTGCTTATCTGTATATAATGTATGTATTATATTTATTGTCTTTATATATACAAAGTATAAAAAAATACATATATGAAAAAAAAAGCTGCATGAAGTGTTGTGACTGCAGGAGGAGGGAAAAAATAAAAAAAAAACATTGATGTTTTCACTCTTCAGATGAGTCTGTGAAGAGATCTGAAAGAAATGTGGTCTGTACTGCTGTCATTCAGCAAGAAATGGATGGTTTTGGTGAAACTGCAGGGTTGCAGTGAATAAATATGTGTTCGCGTAAAGAAAATAATATTGATTCTTATGTAATGCTTAATTTTGGAAAAACTGATTTCTTTCTGAACTCAAATCGCATTCAATAAGAGTTAGTGAAGGTAGAACTTCTTCCAGGTGATCCATTCTCATGTTTGACCTGGGCTGGAGGCTTATGGCTGCAGCCTGAGCAAGAGCGTCTGGGAGCAACTCCTCAGCAAGAAGTCGGTGTGGTCTGTGATCATGGAACAGGGAAGGGCTTTGTCTTGCCAGCATCAGAATGGGTAGAGCTTTTGCTATTCTAAATCTCTCCAAGGGGAATTGACTTGCTTTTGCTGGTATCCTTGTGTCTAAGTTGCCATGACAATTTATATGAATAGTTTAGTTAGGGGTCATGAGGGAAAGACAGATAAGAACCGTATCTCTTGCTTTTATAGAGCTGTTGTGTGTAACAGCAAACTTGTTAAACTTGTGAAATGCCTAAATTTTCAGCTTCTTGTTTGCTTATGTATCACATGCTTGTAGGAAGATTTCCTAGCAATCTCTTCTGGTTCTTTTAGCAGGGATTTAGAACATGTATTTTGAAGTCTGCTTGGACAGGAAATTTTTTGCATTAGGATTGCGTGTATCAGTCCTTCATTTCTGTGCCATTTTTAAAAGGTAATTCATCTAGTTTAACTGGTTTATGTTATAGCCTAATATTTGGGAAGAAAGTCCTTTAGAAGTCTAAAGGAGAGGCCTGAGCACTGGAAATGGAGGGATGGGAAAGTAATGATTTTTGTCAAGAAATGCAGGTGTGTCTTTCTGTACATAGACCACATAGAGAGCATGACTGAGTAAGCTACTGAACAATACCTTCTCCACCTTTTTAAGTAAAGCTTAATCTTTTCAACCAAAATTCCATTTATTATAACTCTGTTTTCTCTCTTCAGTCTTTCAGTGCATGTTTGCATTGGCTAATATTCCTGGCACCTTGGAAAGCTGTTGTTCTGTGATCGATCCATTCCCTGTGAAGCAAGGATTACACCTTAAGAACGTACTGATTATTGTTGTCTACTGATATTTCTCTTTAAATCATGTAGATGTTGAGAAACAAATCTACTGAATTCTCCAACTATGAAAAGCAGAACAATTAGGTACATTTCATGCTCAAAATGCCTTTTGCCATTCAGCAGGAGAGGATTGAACCCACCATTTATGGCTTGCTTGTCTTTAAGAGGGAGGAATGCCTCTATTCCCTCTCCTCCTTTTTTGTTTGTTTTCTCAGTGCTTGCAGTGCCCTGGTGCACATCCCTAGGCAGTGCCAGTCCTAGCCTCAAGTTACAGGAGCTGTTTGCAGAGGGCACGTGTATTTTTTGTTAAACAGTCTGGTGCCTCAAACAGAGCCGCTTCCAAAACCTGACCACTTCTTATGCTGCTTATGATTATGGACGTTTGAAAAAACTAGAAGTTCATGGTTGAAGCACAAGGGCTGTTACCATCACGCTGGAATTCTACCATTCTCTCTTTGGATGAGACCGAAAGGTGATCTTCAGTCATATTTGCATGATAGTAAGTGCAAGTTGGTTCAGTGCTTTTAGTATCAAAACCAGGAGCTGTACTGCACTGTAGTGCATCAAATTCCACGTAATAATGCAGCCAGCCTTTAAGAAGGCTGGGTGGAGTGCTTGACAGCTGTGATTAATCACCAGTATGTACTTGGCTTCTGCTGCTCACCCTGTAGAACAGCTCTGTAAGAGCTGATGCTGAAATCGAGGCGGTCTGCAGCATCACTGCAACTGGTGCTATATGGGGTGGGCATGTAAAGCTCACCTAGCTGGCAAGTAATTAGATTTTGGTGACTAAAAGAATAGGCAAAATGCCAGCATTTCTTGAAATGGATAGGACCTTTGGAAGAAGTGCAGAAGGAGGCTGTGCTCCTTTTAGCCAAGGCAGCAGAAATGGTTTCAGATTGTACTGTGAACTTTGTGCAGTGAAAATCATTTGAGCTGGTCCACACCAAGAATAGTTCCCCTCTGGAAATTGTTTCCTTTAGCTGTGTTGTGTGGTTTATGGTATAGCTCCCTCAACACTTGTGCCTAGCAGCAGGATGTGGGGTAAGGAAATGTTCATTTAGCAGATAAAATACCAGAAGTGCAGAATTCTGGATGGATTAGAGGAAGAAGTAAAAGAGGAAGGAAGCACACAGGAGATAAGTCTTAATTGCTGCGAGGCAATGAAATACAACAGAAGCAAAGCTTACAATTGCAGAGCTGTAAATTTCTGAGTGAGGTTGGGATATAGCAAAAGACAAGAGGATCATAGATTTTCTTTGTCACCACCACTTTATTCTTTCACCAACATAGCTTTGGCTTTGTTTCAGAATGGGACAACTCAGTGAGTGAGAACTTCTCTTCCTCTGACTGTTAGGCTTCCTGTCATTCTTTCCAAGCCCACTGAAGAACCTCTGAAAGAAAGTCTGTTGTACTCTTAGTAATGACTTATACAAAACATGTTGACTAGTGCTGCAAAAAGACATTAGAACATTTTACGAGAGTGACAGAATGAACTGTTTCTTTTCTCTCATTTTCATTCAAGGCAAAGTGAGCAGTGACTCCACATGGCTGAATTGCTCCAGATACGTGAGGATCTAAATCCAGATACCAGTGTCTTACGTTAGACTCAAAGTATGTCATTTGTTTATAAGCTTTACTTAGCTGTCCCTTGTATTTGACCATTCATACTTATTATTGCTGATTCAGTAGTATGTGTTTTATATATTAATCTTTACAGTATGGCAGAAATTTTATAACTTACTATGATTGCATATTGCAAGTTGCTTACATTGTGGGATCTGATAATGTCACAGCACTGACAGATTCAGCCAAACTATATATCTGCACAGCCTTGGTGGAGAGTAATGAGGTTGCACGGATATCTCTGAGGGCATAATTTCATCTCTGGTGTGCTTATTGCTCGTAATGATCAGTGACAGGGAAAAGTCATTCTAGGATGAGTTTGGAAGACAGTCAAGAAGGGATAATATTTTCTTTCTACAACAAGTATCTGTTACAGCATCATTGAGAAGCAATAAACACTGTCTTGTGTGGAGTCACTGTGCAGAGCAGGATCTTGCTTTAAATCAAGTGTCTTTGTCAGTAATGCATTTTATGATTTCCTGCAGGAAAAACAAATGTAATGAAAGCATTACTATCTGAAGAGCTGCTGCCTGTAGGGGATCCATTTGATTACTACTTTCAGAGAAGTTATGTTCAGTTGACCTTGAAGAGAGATATTTTATAACTGTGGGGAAGATGTAGCATCCCATTGATAAAAGTCTGATGGAAATTGCGTAGCCCCTATAGATAATTAATACGTTTTTACAGCATTATCAGTTTTACTTTCTTCTCTGAAGATCAACAGTAGAATATTACCAAGTTTCAGTTGTCTGGCTTACAGCATGGTTATGATTTTTGCCCCTCATTCCATATATCTTTAGATGCTAGAAGTACAAGATGTGCTATAGAAATTTTATTTCCTAGATGAAAATAATGCTAAAGTAAAAAATGCGTTCAAAACAGGAAATAAGTCTCAGAGTAAGGACATACCAAAATTAAAGCTGCCTGTGTGATACTTATGTGAAAAAGGATGGATAAACAAATTCCCTTATGTTACTACATGCTTCTCACTACCAGTAGTATCCAAGCAGATGCTTAGTGCTTTGCTTCCTAGTGTTCCTGCTAGTAGGGAGGTGGTACAAAGGCCTGAGTTTGTGTATGATCATAATTCTGAGAGGAAAAGTAAGTTTTCACTCTGCTGGGAAAAAAAATTAACAAAACTGTCCATGGGAGAAAGTGGGGATTTGAAACAGGTCAACAACATGCAGAGGCAAATTAATTTGGTGTTATAAAACTGACTGATCTCAGTAGCTTTAGTACCTGCTTCAGCTCATTGCTCTGCACAGTAAATCTGTGGCATATAAATACTCTTGGATAGTTCTAGGTTGACTAGCTTCAATCCATGTGATTAAGCATTGCTTTCAGCAAATTTGTTTTATAGTAGTCAGTGCAGATTCTGATGTACTGTTAATAAGCACTGGTAACATCCTTTAGTTTTTGTTGAATGGGATGACTGGAAATGTACTTCTTACATTTCATGCCACACATAGAATTATGTGTGTGCTGTACACAGGGGCTGCCTGGACGTGGTCAGCAGGCATTATAATCAGTACAAACAATTTAAAAGTTTCACAATTGCAATAGCTTATATGACTGTGCAGCCACTGTTTTTGTATATTCTTTTATTTCATAACTTGGTTATTGTGATTGTGGTTATTGGTGCAAGTAGATAAATTAGCTTATTAGCTGATGTGCCTGCATGTGTTGAGTAACTGTTCAGACAAATGACTTTAAAAGAGAAAGAAGTTTTCTTTCTTTCCTGTGGTACCTTTTACTATCCTGCAATAGCAAGCCACATAGAGATTCATACACACTCCTCCTCTTGGCTCAAAAGTCTTCTCTCTCTTTGGGTGCACAGTAGTATTAGCAAAATAGAAGAGATTCACATATTCATATAGTAGTTTGTAGGAACACACTTGCAATTGGGCTTCATCTCAGGTTCTACTCCCTGGTTTATTCAGTTTCATATAATCAGTTCTTTCAGCTTGTTGTCACAGTGGCGATCTACTCAGCCTGGAATAAAGGCGGTTACAGGATACTGCCCTCTTCAAACATCTGTAGGAAAGTGGCAGTGGATGACATTTAAACTACAGTAACCCTTTGATAGGTATACGGTAACCCATGTCCTCACTGCTGTTATTTAACTCTGACAGCCTGTAAGGACAGAGTCTGGTTCAACCCGCCGATCTCAGGCTGCTTTCACTGTCTCTCAGCGGAGCTGCCCTATCTGTGGCGTCTGCAGAAGTTTCAGCTTTAACAGATGCGTTCAGGAGGCTGCCTTGGTGGTAATGACCATCTGTTACACCTTCATCTCCAGAATACAAGAAGATAATTGGTTAATACTTGTTTACCAACAAGGTAAGAGTAAAATTTCAAGTAAGAATTAGAAGGTCTTTTATGGTGACTAGTAAATCCACACCGAATCACAGAGATGCAAACTAGAAGGAGCCTCTGGAAGTCAGCTTGTCCAGCCTCCCTTTGAGAGCAGGACTGGTGTTTGGGATACCACGGATCACCACTGGCTTTTTCTAGTCATGTGTTGAAATCTTCAAAAAACAGAGACTGCACAGCTGTTCAGAAGCACTTGTTTCCTTGTTAGAACTGTCTAGTGCTACTAATGAGAAGTGGGCAACAACACTGAGCAGCACTGAAAGAAATTCCCAGGTCAGGAAGCAATTGTACATTCTCAGAACCACTCCATAAGAGTGTATTTTGAAAAAAGGCTGCTGTTTTCTTCTTAATCTGAACAACTGTATTAAGACCCATTAAGCCAAACAATTGCTTTCCTGCTCTCAGGAACACTGTTAAAAATACAGGTTAATGCTTGCAAAGTTCATTCAAGGTAGTAAAATCTTTAAGTAGAATTCAGAGGCAGCTTCTTACTGAGTGGAGTTACACCATCAAGAACTAAATAATCTCTGTTTTGCATACTATGTTTTAATTATCTTTTTTTTTTTTTTTTTTCTTCCCTCCCCAAAACACTAAAACCTTGTGCTGAGAAACTGATGCAACAGGCTGGTGTAACAGTATGATGCTAATGAAGATAACTTCCCTCTAGAAACACAAGACATTAAAACTTTTTAGACCAGAAAAAGAGGCTGTGGTGGAAAAAAAAAAAAAAAAAAAAAATACTACTTTTCTGTCCTGCTTCCTCCTTTTAGGGAAAAAATACATACTTTCCTTCCATGTGTCTAATGCTTTATCACAAGTACCAGTATGTATGGGAACTGCCGAGTGACGGCCTGAACCTCTGATGGATCACCTGAGGCGAGCCATGAGTCAGCCAGAGGAGCACAGCTTGAGGCAATTCACCTGTGCTGCAGGAAGGGGTGGAACCTGGCTGCACCCCTCCTAGACCCATTTAAGAGCTGGCTGCCAGTGGGGAAGGATCTCTCTGGAGATCTGCTCTGCTGGTGTTTTGTGAGTGAGCCCAGGATAGGGGTAAGCCTTCTATCTATTCTCTTTTTGTTATCATTATATGCTTTGCCAAACTCTCTTGTTTGTTTTGTAATTATAGCATCTTAATATTCATTGATTATACATGGTAGCAATAACTTTTTCTTTTTAAGTCAGTGTGTTGAAATGTGAAGTATATTTACCAGAGAAACGTGTGTACCAGTGGGGGCAAGAAAGAAATAGTGAAAGAAGTTTTGCAATCTAAGCAAGCAGAGGAAGTGAATGTTGCAATGATCTGCATGTCTTTGAGTACCAGTAAGTGAGAAACCCAGTAATCTAAAAGGCAGGTGGGTAGATATTTTTCTTTGCTGTTTAGCAGTTACTGAAAAGTCAGCATAAATAGCCCCTCATCTCTTGTTCTCTTTATATATCATGGTTTTTCTCTTTTCTGCACGAAGCTCAGGGATCTAGAACCTTGAAAGGTTGCAACTGGCTGATACCCACTGAAAAGTAACTTGCATGTTTGCAAGCAGCCCCTACTGTGTCATTCTGCTGACTTTTTTTTTTTTTTTTTTTTTTCCCCTGAAAAAGTGCTGCAAGAGATCACTGAAAGAGTCTCAATTGGAATTTTCTGGTTTTCCAGTGGAAATGGGAAGGCAGTGTAACAGAGGGGAAAAAGTCAATTAAAAGGAAAGGGAACACTTGAAACTTCTGCATAATTAATCTACCTTGCCATGAAACTCTTCTACAGAAAACAAAAAACAAAAAAACAACCATAGGTAGCTTATGGAAAAGTTCTTCAGAAACTTCTAAGCATGGTAAGAATCTTTAATCTGAGTTTGAGCCACGTGTGATATTTGTCACTTCAACCTTCACTTGTAGATTAGTTGTGGGATAGTGTGTGTATGCAAACTCACTGCGTAAAGTCACAGTCACAAAACAGTCAATTCTTAAGTAGCTGCAGTGCTGTCAAGGAGTTAGACTTCATGATGACAAAAGGCATTTATTGGAAGTGAGTATAATTTTAGGAGAATCATGGCATTCTGTACTGTAGTCTTTTCCTTCAGGAATATGGAAGAACAACTTGGCCTTCAATTTCCAGGAAGTTTCTGGGAAATCCAATCATAGCAAGTGTTCAAACCACATATTAACAAGTCCTGCTGAAAGTTATTTGTTGCTAAGTATGTTTGTAGCTAAGGATAAGCTATGCAGTAAAGTGAGAGAGATCAAGTGATTACTTGATTCAAAATCTCTTTTGTGTTCTCTGTTGATTTTGGAGAGATCAGCTCAGTAGGCTGTAATTCTCCTGCAATGCTGTCTGCATGATGAATCCATAGCACAGTATGGCTCATCAAATTTTAATCCAAGAAGTACAAGGTTCTTTTATTACACCAATTTTATGGACGGTGTTTCTTAGGGGAATGGAAGCTTTTTGCTCACTGCTATACGGGCAACACTGTTGTGCCTAAAACTACTGTGCTGCTCCCTAGAGCAGATCACTAACAAATTTGGTCTTTTTATATAATGGCATAGTGGCTAACACCCAAAAGTTGCTTTCACAAACAATACATCAAACATGATTGAAATGAACATCTGTAGTTGTCATAAAAAGTGAAGGAACTGTCCAGGTACGTGAAACTTAACGGTTGTGGTATCGTTACAAATTAGTTATGTTGGAATTAGATTTGGGTTGAAATCCAGATGTCAACCTGAAATTAATTTTGTGAGATTCTCTAGCACACAAAAATTCATGTGTGGCAATACAAGTACTTGCTCCCTTGATGGAGGAAAGTTTAACACAGATAAAAAGGGATTTATTTTCTACGTGGGAGTTGTGAGTGCTGCAGTTTTTAAAGACATTTTTAATGGCAGAATACATAGGAGCATTGTTCAACTATTCCTTTTTTTAAAATAAGTCATCGCTTTATCCTAGATTTATGGTAGCATGCTTCCAGAGCTTGTATAAATAGGGCTGTGACCATAAGAAGTGTAGTGAGAGCCATTCTTTATTGCTTATTTCTCTACTTTATTTTCTACTGGTGAAAGGAATTGTGTACAGCTGGAACATTTAGTTCATTTACGCTAATGACTGTTTATGTCAATCAAATTATTTGTGGCAGAAAACAGCCTGGGTTTTGCTAACCAATAACAATTCACAGTAGGAGCACCTATTTAAGGAACTGACTTCTGTGGAACAGCTCTATTTTCACAATCTCAAGATCAACTGCCAAAGTTAATGTCTTCAGTCTTCATGGAGATTCAGTGCACATATCTTCAGAAATGTTCTTGATAAAGAGACCGTTCAGATTAGGATGAATTTAGTCCATTTAATATTTTTTGAGGTTTAAATTATTAAAATAGTACTTGCAGAAAGCATGGCCAGTATTATTTCAGTGGTGTAGGTGAGAAAGTTTCTGACTTTGGTTGGTTATTGTTACCTTTACAGATGTCATTGCCAGTGGCATGTACCCTGCACAAGTGACGAAACAGGTGTGTATGTGAAGGCCTATTTAAAGGTATTTGATAACATACATTTTTTCCACACTTTTGTCGTATTTCTGGTAAACAACACTTGTATATTTGTCTCCTGTGCATTTTTAAACATCGGGTGTTTAAACTGTCTCTTTCAAAAACTGAGCTAACTGATTGAACTGCAAAAATCGCTCGGAAGCATCAGTCAGTGCTGAGAAATAAAATCTTACTGCAAAAGAAAGAAATCATCCCTGAAAAGCCAAAGCCATCCTGCTGCTCTAATTTAGTAAAGCCATCCATAAATGGTTTGCAAATAACATTTTAAATTAACATTTAATTTTCATTTATCAGGTGGATTAATTAAAGAGTTCAAAATTGAGTCTTTAACTACTGTTACCTTTTTTAGCTTAATTTCATGGCATTATGGGAGCTCTCCAGCTCGTTTTACAGTATGTACCTCTAGAGAGAGAACAACCCTTCCCTCCTTCTCTTCCCAGTATGTGCAAGGATGGTACTTAGCATCACTGCATGCTTCCCCTGTAGCCTTTATATAGAAGAATATGCTGATTGAAGGAAGAAGAAAAAAAAAGTGTAATGTTACATTAACTACTGAGTGGTACTGATTACTCACAACTGGAACTAACAGTCTGTCACATAGTATATAATACAGTTTGTCACTTAGTTACATAGGTGAAAACTGTGTGTCTTTATGATACAGAATTTTACCCTCCTCTATAGTTACTTTGATATGTACTGTAATTTGGTTACTTACATGAGCATTTTATTTGTCTGGAATGCAAAAGAAAAGCAGCAAGCTTGGACTGAGGTCTGAGTATTTTTTTTTTTTATTTTTTATTTTCAGGCAACTTTAGAAATAAGGACACATTTGGTTTGCTATCTGAAGGGAATCATTCCTTCAAGGATGCTTACCAGAGAAACTGGAAAAGCTCCACATAAGTAGGGAGGGTCTGCCAATACTGAAGACCATGGGAATGCTTTCCTTGGCAGCTCTTTATATTCAACACTAAGACAGAAAATAGTGCTGACACACTTGTGGAAAAATACAGCAGCAAAAACTTGCTGTAATTAGAAATGAACACATGGCCCAGGATAACATTAAAGATAAGTTTATCTCCAAGTTAACCTTCAGTTCAGAGAGTGGCTAAAAAGAAAACCCAGCCTGCAAGCAGATCTGAAGAAAAAAAACCAACATTAAAACAAGCAGGAAAAAAAACCATTCTTGTTGGTGTCATATTGTCATGAAGCTCAGAGATGTTTACTGTTCTTGGAAAAAAAGTGAACAGAAATCCAGACAGCAATCCACACAGAGCAATAATTAGGGGACACACCAACGTGCTATGATGGTCCAGAGAGAAAATATTTCTGTTTTCAGAGGATATGAAGTTATGTTGTTTTAAAACTGATCCCAGATCCTATGGGTTGTCTGCTAGTTGTTATTACTACAAATGTTGCTAGCAAACAGACAAAAAAAGCACGACTGGGATAGTTGGGGTTCTCATTGTTTTTTAATTGGAACTTCAGATGAATTGTCTTTTTGTTGTTGTTGTTGTTGTCTGCTTCCTTTCCAGGAAACTGGAAGAGAAAGAAGAGGGAAGAAGAAAAGTCTACCATGAAGAACTTGCTATCTCAGCAGGAATTGCAGAGTCAGGAATGTGTGTATCTAAATGTGAGCAATGCCATGAAACAAGTATCTAATTATTGAATAAGTTTGATCAATTCAGTACAGGATATAAAATGTTTATGTGATGTCATCACTGAATTATTTCTAGCTGAGACACCCATGTACTGCTGTGGTGTTCTTTCAGAAGGCTGGTTGTGTCCTTTTTCATACTAATGGAGTGAACAATCTAATAGTCTTGGGTTGTTGTAAATTCAAAGTAGAGATGCTCTCATCTTTATTCAAGGAAACAGTGCTTATTTGTGCTAGATTCAAAGGCAGGTAGAAATACATTGATGGAAGAATCCTATCCTCAAATATATAGCTGCTGTTAAAAAAAGTCCTAACTTCCAGATGATCTACCTGAGGATGAGCTTTTAGGTGGTATCAGAAATGATGACCTCAGTTTTACAACATCAGGAAACTTTGAAGTGTCAGAGATGAGACTTCCAACATGGTTGTAATATTTTGGAGATTGTTTGTATTTAATTTGGGGATTTTTTCTTTGAGGGTATGTAAGTACTGGTTTTACTATGTAAAGAAAGTATGTATTGTAATCTAGAATGTAAAAGAAGTGATAATGAAGTAAATTCTTAACACTATAAGAAATCTGTTGGATTAGCTTTTATGCTGTATGTTAATCAGGATTGTACTTTTCTCCTCTACATATGTGTTCTTTTTCATTATACTCAGTTTTTGTTGGCCAAAAGCCTGATGGTTGTGTCTTCACAGGAATACTATAGAGGGAAATTAAAGGTATAACTGCTAGAATAAAACTAACTGAAATAAAGATAAGAAAATGCTAAGTGTTGCATCTCACAGGGAATCAAAAGGTGGATGACCAATCAAGCAGATGTTACTCAACACTTCTTGAGAACTGGCAAATAATCAGAAGAAAAATACAGCTGGAATGCAATCTAACAAAGGATCAACTCCAATGTTTCAGATCAGCAGGATCTGTTTAATGTGTCAGCTTAATTCCTCAAGCATTAACCTGCAGGTAAACATGACATTAAGCAGCAGCTTCTTAACCACACAAAATGGATGAAATTCTGTTTCAAGTATTTCTGAACTGCAGCCCATCCTTTAGTTCTGAAGTTGTTTGGTTAAGGAATAAATGTTTTTCCTACCAGTCCATTAAGGAGATTAATATATTCTTCATTAATCTGAAATTGGTTCACCCCTTTAATTATGGGAAGCTTTTTTGCTAAGCACTTGCATGAAAGAAATACTAAGTCTGAGAAGTTGCTTTCAACATTACTATTTGCAAATTAATGGTATCTTTATTCAAATGAAAAGCAGTGCTTATGTTATGAAGAGTACTATTATAAGATGTATGATTTGAAAATATAGCTTGAATCTCTATTAATAATGCTCTTAACAGGGTCATCAAATAGCTGTATGAAACTTTACCCCCCGTCTTAGAGATGGTGTAGCTGAATACACACTTATTAGGGCAGAGACAACAGGACTTCAAACTGTATCTGCATATGTACCAAATTGCGCAGCACCTACCTGAAGTAATTGTGTCCCTTAATTATGTTTTATGATCAGCAAATTCTTAACTTTCCAGAATGTTCTCACTATGCTTGCTGGTCTTCGTGGCACATTCTACAGGAATGTTTTCTGCAGTGATCCTGCATACAGGCAGCAAGCTTAAAGCAAATGGCCGAGCCCTTTCCCCAAGCTACAGAAGATATTGCAGAAGTGTGCCCTGTTTGCTCTCAGACAGGAAGCATCCACTGAGACAGGTGAGACTAGAAACCAAAACATCACAGCTGGAATGACAATACATTATTTCCTAAAAGGAAAAACTTTAATTTTGGTGATGAAATGAATTGGATGTGGCTGGTTTTGTACTTCTCAGAATCTTGGGATAGGGTAAGCAGTACCTAAGTGAGTGTGTTATTGCTGTGATAAATATGTAAAATAAAACTTCAGAGAGATTAATTCTCAATAACACTAAATGCCTTTTCCTGTTCAATGTACTGCTTGGTCCATTAAGCATATGTAACTGCTACAATCCACAGGCTTCTATTTAGTTTCTCCTAAGGGAGGAAAGAGCCTGGGTTTTGGCCAAACAAAATAAAATACATGCGTGGAATTCTGTTTAACTGCAGAGAATGAAATTATTGCTACACTTTATAGAATATGCTTAGTAATGCAGTAAGAATTTACTAGAAAAAAACTTTTTAGTGGAGAGGTCATGTCATTTTAAATCCTTGAGGATGCATTATGGGTTAGAGTGATGTAGAAGTCTCAGATCACTTTATCTCAATTTGCCCTGGGTGTCCTACTTCACCAATGACCCCATCAAAAACAGTGGCACTAGCGTGAAATTAAGGCAATGAAAATCAAGAATCAAAATATAAGCAGTTGTTTAGTTTAGCTTAATTAAAATCTGTATCTGCTTGTTTACTGCTACTTGTTCTTTGTATTAACAAGCTCAGCTGTGTCTGACACTGAAGAAGCCAAGGAAAGTATTAGGTACTTTGATATTTCTTTGTCTCTCTGATACAAGAAAATTTTCTTGGTTTGTAACCATGTGAGTCTGTCTTTCTAAATGTTTAGTCTTAACTAATGCAGTCAAGGATTATGGCTTTTTTGTGTGTCTACAAGGGCCTGTCACTGCAGCGTTATGAAAAATTTGCATACAAAGCATCTGCTTTAGGAACATTGCATATTACATAACTTTCATATGTATTTCCATATATGTCATTTTTCTATATTCATGTCATTATGAAGTAATAGTGTTTGATTTGCTGTTCATGGGTCAGCAAGTGTTGTTTATTTAGTGCTGGTAATTTTGCTTTCTCTCTGTTTACCCAGAAAGATAGTTTCCAAGTTTTTTTCCTGGGAGGAGAAGGGGATTGCTTACAACTGGGATAAGGAAATTGTGGTATATGTTTGGCAGTGTTGAGCTCTATGAGTTCAGCAGCAAGCCACTGTTCATTTTTTTTTTGTCAACAGAAAGCTCATAGAACATGGCAAGGAAAGAAAACTTGTAATACTCACCTATCCATAAGAGCTGCTGTGTCCTTTTCCTCTTAAGTAATACTTTCTTGTAAAGTTTTAGGTACGTGCAGATTCCCTTTCCCACCCTGCCCCTGTTGTCATCATAACTGGTTTTCTGGATCAGGCAGAACCATACCAGTGTGCTCTTAATTAAAAATGATCAAACTCTGGGGCCCATGTGACATCTGAGCCTGAATGAGGCTTTAATATGGCTTTGTTTTACCACAGATTTTCGTTTACTGTCACCGTCCAGAGCTTTACTAATTCTGCTTCCTTTCCATCCACCAAGCTGAAACCCAGTTGTCATTCCAGGCACAAAGACATGTAAATGAGGTGTGCTATTAAGCTGATATTGTCAAATGTGATGTGAGCAAATGAGCTGCGCTCCTCTTATCAGTTACACTGATGACTATGCTGGTGCTGTTCCCAAGGCAAGAAAGGGGCAGGCATTGCTTCCTGTAGATTTTCATGTTTTCTTCCCTGCTAGACAGGACTGCAAACTAAACTTCTGGAACCAAGGGAAATCAATATTCATATTATTTCAGCTTTTTTCAGATATCGTATCTGAGAACCGTTCTTCATGTCAGAATTCTGGTTCCTGTATATTGTGTGCTGTGCCTCTGAGAATCCCACAGAAATGCAATTTTCAGTCTGCTGTTTTTTTGCACATTATATGCACAGCCATCAGTGCTGAAAGCAGTCTCGTGTCAGGACTGTAGGAATTGTCAGAAAACACCTTTTTTCTCTCAGTTGAGCAAAGGCTTATTGTGGAAAGCAAATGAAACCACAGTGCTTCTTAAATTTGTAAGCATGCTTTCTGTAGTGTTCATCCATGTGGCCAACCTGAAGGAATTGAGTCATTGCTTCAGATCCTGTGAGAGGGAAATGGGTGAAAATTGCAAATGTAATATGCTTCACTTATCCACCAGGAAAACGTATCTAGCAAAACCTAGAGACTTCAAACGTGAAGAGCTGCAATTTCCAATCTGCTCTGTATTATCACAGGAGTGAGGATTTTGGTTAGTCTGATCCAGCAAGAATTAGCCAAAATCTTTAGGGTAAAAAGGTGAACATGAACCCATGCTTAACTAGCCTTCTGCAGTAATTTCTAGGCTAGCCTAGAAAAATGTTTGTTCCACTTGGCATAGTCTTTCATGGGGGAACAAACCCCCACTGCATACAGAATAAAAGGGGGAAAGTTTATAAAGGGGTTATATGCAGAAGCCTTGTTTCAGCATACGTGGAGTTCTTTTTCTAATTACTCCCCACGTTACTTCGGCTCTGTTATGTTAGAGCAAGTTCATCTCTGTGTGATTGCTGATTATTCTTTGTAGGTTTTTGTTTGTTGTGGGTTTAATGCTGCTGTTTTAGGACAGAGGAATGGTGTTTCTCACAATGGAGAATAAGCTTGTTTGGATTTCTTTTTACCTTCAAGCCTCAGAGTTGCAAAGGACTTCCCTCAAAGATTTATAACACTCAGTCGTGGGCACATCAGATTCCTCTCTTGTGTACGTTTCCCCTTTCTCCCTTTCTGGATGGTTAGCAAAGACCACGAGATGGATCAGATTGAACGACCTCCTGTTTATCATGGGATGCTGCATTCACTTGGAAATGCCATGTTAAGTTTAGTAAGATAAGAGCATTTCCGTCCTTATGAGAGTGAGCTGTGTGCTGCTGTGTGGGAGCAGGATATCTGGTGTCACCAGTAGTGCTGGGCATACGGCCAAGACATCCAGAGAGAATCCTGACCTGATCACAGCTGGTCCTGTTTTCAGCAGGAGGACAATTAGAGATGTTCTGAGGTCTTTTCCAACCTGAAGTTAACTGTGATCCTAAGAAGGGATGCTGTTTTCAATGCTGTAGCAACAAATTAATATCCAAAATAATAGCCAGCCTGACATAAGAGAATGATTTCCTGATAGCAGATCTGACAATCTGACCATATGTGACCACAGCACTCTTGAGTTTGGGATTTGAAAATTAAGGTTTTCTATGTCTCCTCAGTGTAGCTGTTTTCTCACTCTAGCTTGTCACCTAATTGTCTCCCAGCTATACCTAGTTTCAAATATATAATCTGATATCTGTATAAAAAATATCTTCTAATACAAATGTTTTGCTGGGGTCAGTTATGCATGAGAAGCAAGAAGCAAGTCTTTTTCTTGACCTTGGCTGATGAATGCCAGAAGTGTGGGTTTTGCTTACATGTATCTTATCACACTACTGTGGGTATTATAAGCAGGTCGATAACAAATCCGTTCTGTCTCCAGTCTGCCCATGTAAATTCACACGTTAATTAGTCAGTAGAGACCACAAGGAGGATACAATCTACATGCTTATAAACAAGCCAGTCTGTGCTGAATACACATAAGAACCTTATGTTATTTAATGTAAGAGGAAAATATGAAGCGGCATAAGGGAAAAGGGAAGTAATTATATTAATTCTAAGGAAGTTTCTAGGGTATTTTATCCATTGCTTTGAATTCCAATTAAAACTATGTATCTAGTCAAGAGCTTCTGAGATCAGGTTCTTTATTTGGACCTGAAACTTGGAAGGTTTACCTTCTTGAGATTGAGAAAATGTTAGAAAGAGTTGTCTTTTGTAGGTCTCACAGGTTTTGTTTGTTTATTTTCAGAATGAAAGTTTTGATGCAAAATGTGTGCTTGAGCCTCAGGTTTGTTTTTTTTTTTTTTTTTTTTAATGTCATGGGTATGAAAACGTGATGCTTCATATTTCAAATGAAACAATTCAAAGAACAGACTCTATGGTAGATTCAGTTGGTTCTGTGCCTGAACAGTTTGGACTTGGTCAATTGAAGAACTTCAGTATGTTGACAGTCGTAAGTTCACGTGACCATTCTTACTCTAAATACTCTCACTCTTTATTACTGTTTTCTGATGGGAACATCATTTTTCTCCCAACAAAGCAATGGTAAATAGATGTTTCACATCAACAGCTAAGCATCTGAAAAATAATTATATATATATTAAAAAATAATAAACAGGGAAGCAAGAGTTATAACTTGATTTAGTGTTGCCAGTGGCGAGAGCAGAAATGTACAATTACTGATGTCTGCAAAATCTCTATGCATTTCTCTGGCATAACCAAAATTTCAGTACTCTTTTGTAGGACAGGGACTATTCATGCTTATTTTAATATTATACTTATGACAAATTACCATAACACATGCTTTTGAGACACTTCAGTGCAATGTGTGTGCATCATTCTTGTTGAAGGACTTACATTTATATTGTTGAGCACATATCTGCTTTAATTTTCACTGGATTAAACTTGCAAATGTGTAGATCTGTGTGGTCTGTAGGTAATGTATCACAGACTTAAAAGTGTGTTTTTCTTTTCTGGATCTAAACCTTTTATGACAAATGAAGAATCCGTGGTATGAAATCTGTGAAATAATGTTTTTTGAATCCTATGAACAAAATGTTTTTGAGAAAGGACATCAAGCTTCAGGCTTCAAAGTATCTGTCAAGAGTGGAAATCGTAGAAAATATTCTTGTCAAAAAAGCAACGTTCAACTACTTCCATATTTTAATTTAATAACTGTTAGGTGCTGAAAATAGATTTGTGCCTTGGCCAAACCCTTAGTCTGTTTTTTTTCATTTGGAATTGGAAGGGTTTGGTTCAACAAGAATCTGCTCTTTTCAACATAAATTGTGTTGAGCTGCAGCTTAAAGCTTTAATCTCAATCACAATCGTTGCTCTGTTGGTGTATTTCTGTGTATTTTATGAGACCCTGAATGTTGTTTTGTTTTGTGGCTGTTACCTGTACCAGTACTATTCTGTTGCTCTCTGCAGTGTGCGTTACCCACCAGAGGGAGCCAAAGCCAAGAACCGTCGGACTTTGCCTTTCAATTTTCAGAGCTTCTCTACTGAAAGTCATCTCCACCACTTCACAGTGCTTTTGATTCAGGCCTCTGTCTTCAGGTTCGTCATTTGTAAATTGTATTAAGCTCTATTTTCATTAATACAAGTAAAGGGCCCAAGCTTCTAAAAATAAGTTAAAGTTGGGTGCTATGTTTAGGAACCTGAGAAGTCCCAAATTTTTCTTTCCAAATTTTCAATTTTCTGGAGAATGAGAGAGCTGTCAACACAGCTAATTTATTTACAGTAAACCTGAAAGATTATCACATACACCTCCTATTCTAATGTCTCCTGAGCAAGCATGTTTTCATATGTTTTATTTACTTCTAAGTTTGCAAACATGTTATTAACTCTACTAGTCATCAGGCATTGAGATGATGCATTTACAGGGATTATAGGGAGTGAGTAAATAAAATGGAAGCTGAAAATAGAAACCATAAATTAAATCTGTTGTATCTGTAAATAAATATATGATGGATATAATGAAGCTGATGGATTTTCTTGTATTTCTAGGTAATAATTGGCTGAGATTAGTAATTATATTTGCATCAGATATACAAGTAAGCCTGTCTGCTAAGCAGACATTTTTTAATGGGAAGCACAGCTGGGCTCAGACCTTGGTTCCTTGTAATGAAAACTGGACTTATGTGAAAGATGCCTAAAGTGATGGCCTCCATCTGCTTCCTCCATTCACCTGCTGCCTGATATTTTAGGTATTTCACTTTCTTCCAGTAATGCCCAGAAACAGTTCCATCTTGACAGAGTTGAGCAGCTCAGTATTTATAAACCTACTTGTTTTATATCTGCAAAACACTTCATAAAGCTTTTCCTAATTGCAGCTGGCTGTATGAACATAAATAGTCTTTAGCAAAAGGTGGAATTGACTTCTTTGTACTATAGGAGGCAGGAAAGCTCACAGTTGAGCAATCATAAATGAAGCTGGTCCTTATTACCACCTCTAAGCTGCTTTCTTCTTGCTCAAGTCATTTGTCATTCTGAATGCATTCTAAATGCTGTGTCATAATTTGCCTGCTCCAAAACCATTAGTGTATCAGTCACAGGAATCACAGAAATCTGATTGCAGCCTTTGAAAGTTCCTTAACTAACAGGCCTGTGTGTTTTCTACACGCAGATTGTGGGTAATCAGCCTGTTAGACCTCCTCTCAGATTATGTTCCAAATTCAAAATCTTGTCATAGAAAAATAGTCACACACAATGCCAGTTTTGGCTCAGGTTTCTGTTCCTTGATAGAAACTTCTCAAGAGGAAGGTATGAGAAAGCTTGCATCAAGTTGCTGTCTAATAGAGTTTGCTGTACAGCTTTCTCGATTAGAAATTGCTTTATATAGTAAAGCATGAGATTTTAATGGGTTTCTGAATGTCCATATAATTCTGTTTGTATACAACCTAAAGTACAAAGAGCTCTTTGTCCCTATTTCAGCATAACAAAGAGGGTGACTAATTTGTGTTTACTTTGCCATCAATTTAGTTGTATAATGGCATAGCTTGTTGGGATATTTTATAGGTGTTTTCTAATATTTCAATGGGAATTAATCTGTTAAATGTAGTAAACAGAAATGTGAAAGAGACTTGTGAGTTTGAAAAACAAAGGAAATGTTCAATTGTGCAGTTTCCAGTGGTACTTCCTTACCAGTGGCTATTGAATAACAGTGCTATGAGACACTATGAATGTGCAATTTGAGATTTTCTTAATAAAAATAGGAGAAAATCTTACAAGCATTTTTGGTAGAGGAGATTATTTAAATTGTAATGTATTTCAGATGCAGTTATTTAGCTATAAAGTGACCCTTTAGTCACAGCTTCTCGTTTTAGTTCTTTTGGATTGCTTTTTACTCTGCTCCTAATTATTTTTGACAGCTTTTTTCCTTTGTTTCTGTACTTAATTCCCACTGTCATTTCAATCTTTTTCTTACTTGGGTTTCTTTTTCTTTTTTTTTTCTTTTTTTGTGGGATGCTGCTTTCATATACTCTGGTTTCACTTTTGACTTTCTATCACCTCAGAACTGTATTGCCTTGTATTTTATTTTGACACCAGGGAAGAGAAAGGAATAAATGGCAGCTGCAGATGCAGAAATACACTCAGCTCTGTGTTAGAACCTGTGCTTTTTTGTTATTTCAGGTTTTTGATCAGACTGGCTCATGGCAGTAGCTGCATGAAATACACATTTCCTCATCAGATACTCCAAAACACAGGAATTGTTCCATACTTATATCAAGGAATTCAGCCGGAGATTATATTCTGTGTGCATACAGGTTAGTAGAATGTGTTTTCCCCCACTGAGAACTTAGGACTAGAACACCATTTTTTGAAATTCATCTAAATATGAGCCTTCCACCATCACATTTTTGTTGATTGCTTTGTTAGATCTGTTCATAATTTCATGATACTTAGCCCACTGGTCTTTATTTCTATATTGACATTATATAATCCCAATTCAAAAGTTACAAGGGAATAGTCTTAAGAACCTTTTGTAGGTATGAATATCCTCATGTCATCTCTCAACAGTCTATTAATGTCTTCCACTAATAAGCTGCTGATACAGGCACTTCTTCCAAACACAAGCTGAACAGCATTCTTTCCTGGTTTGGAAAGACGGTCCAGCATGCAGCTTTATGCAGTGTTTGTTGAGACTGTCAGACTGAAATTTCTAAGAACAAGAGTTGTGCTAATGCTCCACAGGTGGTGTTCTCTGTTGGTATCCTACCATGATTCATCTTTGCTTGGGGTAAATATTGCAGCCACTGAAAAAAATTATAGGTTTCTAAGTATTACTATTCCACTTCTCCCATAAACAGCATAGAAAAAGGCAGTCACAGTTCCTCATGCAGTGTGTTTGACAGGATTAGAATGAAAAGTGCCACTCCTAGTCTGATTTTCCAATTGCACTGGAAATGTTCTGTATTAAGGACAGAAGTAATATTCAAAGACACATCTTCTTGCAGAGAAGAAAGTTAACGTGTTAGAAAAAGTTCATGTAAGAGAATGGAATCAGTAAAAGATGGCCATATATATAAGTAATAATAAGAAAGTAATCTGAAGTGCACGTTGATGTCCTTAAGTCCCATATTTTGTTACTAGTACACCTGAAGGGTTTAAAAGCTAGATTTGCAGGTAGTTGATGACATTGGGGCACAACAAACCATAGTGTATGTTGCAAGAAGAAGCTGCATCAGAGCTTCTGGGTTTCATTCTTTAATGTACTCAAATAGCTGATTCTGACAGTATAGACCTGATATTTTCACATATCTCTTGCAGTGCATCACACAAACATATCTGGAAGCAGAAGTCAGTCTTCCTTGTGTATGCATCAGATTTTATTTAGTGGTGTGACAGAATAAGGGTACAGATAACTTTTCTCTATATTGATTCTCTTATTTTATGCTGAAATAGAAAAGAAACTGTGAACATTCAACACTAGCATAAGCAATGTACCCACTAAGCTGATATGCCAAGATTCTGTGGCCAGTGTTCAAGCAAGCAGCTGAGAATTAATGAGTACTCCCTTGTGGTCTCCAGGTAATGAAGGTTTAGAAGCTATATTCTTTCTTCTCCAGAAAAGGAATTTGCACCTAGTTTTAAAAAAATACTTGAGTGGCCTGTGTTATCTGCAGGAACATCTTTTCTAAATTCTGTAGGAGTTTCTTTGAAAATCATGCTGGCAGCCTTCCAGCAACTTTGGTGCCTAATTCTTGGTAAAATTCTTGTTTTTAGTCTTAACTTTTCTACCCAGCCAAGTTCTATCTGGAGGCAGCAGATTTCACTGATGACCTTATTTGCACCTTCTTCATTAATCATCTGAGTTCTCATCTAATTGTATTCAGCTGCATTCCAAATACTAATACCACTGAGATAATATTTGGGAATCTGAAGACCATCGCCATGTGACCAAGTTACATCCTGTTCCTTTTGGAAAGGCCTCCAAATTTAATTTCTGTTGCTACTTGTTAAATGAGAATTGTTTCTGTGGATCAGTTCATTTCTGAAAGGATTGTACAGATGGAAGTCTCAAATTATCAATATTGTAATTCCATATTCTTTAGTTTTTGCATGTTCCGTGTTGGTATACTTCAGCAATCTCTTCTATGAGAAATGTTTCGATAAGATCTCTTGGTGCTGTTCCCAGAACACGGTTCATGTGATGTCAAAGAATCCTATTGTTTTGCTACGGACCATTTTGTCATTGGGAATTTGGACACAGGGTTTGCAAAGGGTTGGCTGAGGCCACAATACAAAAGACAGAACTTTTGTGCTATCTGTTCTGGCAGGCCATCTTCTGTCAAAGGCCACTATATTTCTTCATCTACAAAATTAGTGACCCTAGCTGCCTGAGAAGTAGGAATTCTGTCTATAGTCACTGTAGTATTAAGTAACATTGTTGTCTCTTTAGACATCACACAAGACCAATGGACTCCACCTGTTTTTTCATCTGTAACCTATAAGTTTTCTCCATTGGCCAGACAATCCTGGGTGAACTGAAGGTAAGCACACTGATAGTTTTTCTCACAACTTTTTCATGGACCTCTTACAGTCTGCAGCTGTATGCTGTCTGTTTTGACTTCTGACTAAATGCAAGGAGTCTACCATTGCTAGTCCCTGTAATTATTGATGGTGCAAGCTCTCATCACCAGTTTATAATATATGAAAGATGAGAAATAAGCAGGTTTTCTAGAAGCCTTAAAATGGTAGAGAGCAGCTAGTATGTGTTTTGTGCATCCTTCCAAGAAATTCTGTTTCCCTAGACCAGGCTGCCCAGAGTCACATCTAGCCTTGCCTTGAATGCCTCCAGGGATGGGGCATCCGTCCATTTTGCTTTTATTAAAATGTGTATTGGTATTTTCTTTAAGTGTGCTAAATTTATATTAGATGAGGTAAGTGGGATTAGGCTCTGTCTTCTATTTCCTTGTACTTATAATTACATTTATTGAAATCTGCTGCATTGTAGGTGCTAGAATACAAATAACTGAAAATACGGTTGTTAAGACAAAATGATAAATTATATCGCGTAATGAAACAAATTGCTTTAGCATTTGGTATGATGTAGATCTTTTTTTATAGCACGACACAAAATTCACAGCATACCAGTTTGTCTCAAATCCCAAGATATTGCTCTGCTTACTGATAGGTAGGTTATGCAACACCTGTTAGAACGCTGAGACACCGTTCCGTTTCCATCCTACTTGATATTCTTTTTTTGTTTTGATGTCACCCTTTCTATCCTTCTCTCCATAGTCTCCATAATAATCTGCTATTGGAAAGTTCTTGATTAGGCAAGTGTTTTAGGGTCATAATTAAGTCTACATCTTGATTGCTTAGTTTTCTAAGTGGAAATTCTATCTTTTCTTTTTCTTAAAGACCAAATTTTACTTTGTATTAAAGACTTCAGTTTCAATGTGTGGTAATCAGAGTGCCTTTCATCTGCATATATAAAATACTAGTGATGGACTGTGATCGCTTTGCTACGAACAGTTTCCCATCTAGCTGTATACAGTCTCAGCCCTGTGTTAGTTTCACATAATTTACCCTGGTATTCTCAGTTGTTACTGCAGTGGATCAGCAGATCAGCTGAAGAAGTTATTCATATGTACGTATGTGTGCATCTACAGTAATTCATATGTATATATGTGGATGCATATGAAAGGACTTATGCCTAGAGCTCATAATGGTTCATTGAGCATTTAACTCACATAAATAGATAGACCAAGAACTGAAAAAAGGATACATACTTTTAAGAAGATATAGAAAGTGCTGATACACTTCTGTGGAAAAGGTCTTGAGTTTGTGGCTAACTTGGCAGAGGTCTCCTACCGCATACGCTGTCTCACTGTGTTCAGTTTGCAAACCCATATTCTTTAAAGTAGCACATGCATCCTCTTTTAGTACGCTTTAGTACACTTCTGTCATTATTTTTATTGGCCAGAACTGCAGTGAAGAAGGAAAAATTGACTTTCACACTGTTCAACCTAGAAACTGGAACAGTAGGCATTATGTTTTGTAAGCTTCAATACACTGTTCATGTTGAAAAGTGACTGCTAGATGTAATATTTGTAAAAATAGCCAAGAGTTTGGATTGCAGATATCTGCATGAAACTACTCAGAAATGATGAGCAAAGTAAGAATTACAAACTAAATGTGTTCTCTTCTCCTTAAAATTCACATACTCATTTGCCACTCGCTTTCTCCCACTGAAAATTAGCAGTTGTCAAAGAAAATACTGTGAAACATTATTCCTGTGATTCTTGAATAAGTAGAAACCAAGCATAGCATTCAGGTTTGCTTCTCGAAATACCTGAACATCTTTGGTGTTTTCTGTGAGTGAGAAGAATGTTACTATGTTATGATTAATTAATTACCTACGCAACAAAAAGAAAGCAGAGCATAGCTTGCTCAAGAACTGCTGATCCAATGTTTCCCATGCCAAAAGGCAGGATCAGTTATAATTAAACCAATGCTGACATGTCTGTCTAGCCTATGTCATAGCATCTTTGTCACTGGAGATCTTTCCAAAGTAATGCATGCCACTGCTTCCTGTCATCATGATTGGATAATTCCTTTTTTCTTAATGTCTTTTTTAAATCTTCAGTGCTCAGTGTGAAGGGCATGACTTAGATTGTCCTTTTCCTCTCACCCGCGAACTTTCTTATAACTGTATGGTCTTGTTTCTAGACTTTGTTCTATATTTCATCAGAAGTCAATGTTTTCTACACCTTTCTTGTTGCTTGCTTGAACTCTATCACATTAAGTGTAGTTTACAAAACTGAATACAAAGCCTTAAAATGTGTCTTAAAACAGTGATTTTTTTTTTTCTTTTTTGGCAGTGTCACAAATTGAATGACATATTTGTGTTACTTCTTCAAATGCTTTTTTTTAAAATGGCAATTATTAAATATAGCATAGTAATCAATAATTAAAGAGCTACTCTTTAAGACTAATATCAAACTAAGGATGGTGTTTTATCTGACACAGTTTTTTTTTTTCTCTTTGTTTTAGGTTTAAAAATGGTTGAAAAATTAACCAGATTTGTACCTCTTGGCAATTACTGATTATTCTGGTAGATTTATTTTTGGAGTCATGAAAGCAGGCAAACTGAATATGGTTGTGTTTTGATATTATGTGTATGGCACACTATAATCATCAGTTCAAAGTCCTCTACGGAGCAACTCACTCAGGAAAAAAAAAGTGAGGAAGCTGGCTAATGCTGATAAAGTTATTTCACAGAATACAAAGAGTAAATGAATAGATTTTGTGCTTCTGCTGGGGATTAAAAGGTTTTGCATGTTTGTAAAAATTGCTGTGAGAAGTCTCTTCAAAGAAAATGACCTTCGCATCGTTTTCTGCTACTCAATTGCACCCTGTCACTGAAGGCATTAAAACTGTAGCTGAGTACCTTGCCAGGTTTTTGCTACCTTTAAAAGTGAGACATTAATAAATAGCAATGGCCTGGAATGGCTCATATGTTAATTTATATTTACACATTTGAACCTTTAAATTATGTTCTTCTATACTGAAAATGAGCAGGGCAGTTGGGCAGTTATTACACAAGGGTTACATGATATTTTTTTTTTAACTAGACTTTGTTCTGCATCATCTTTGAGATCAAATTTTGAACTGAAAAACTGTTCCAAGGTTGGTGAACACTCCTGTTAAGAAATGTTGTATTTATATATATATATATCTTTTTATATATGTATATCTGGGATATGCACAACTTACTTATGAAAAGCCACTTCTTTTTCCCACTGAAATCCTGAGTATTGCATTCCAGAGTAAACACAGTCATGATACAAACAGCACAGAGAAGCTGAGCTGAAGGTGGTACAATTTAAAAGTCCAAGCATTCACCAAAACAATGATATCCAGGGAAAAAGTGGATGTCATGGCAGCCAGCCATTTCCCCCATCCCCAACTATACACAGTGAGATTCCAATGTAAGGTGATGGGATTCCCACTTCTGTGTTCTTATCAAAATAAGATTTGGAAGAAACTTACCATTTTTTAAGGCTTGCACAGTAGTAATGAGAGACAACTGAGTGAAACTGTGCACACAGTTGTTTAAAGCTCTTGGAAGTTTGGTCAGCCCAAATAGTTGTGCTGTTCAGTTATTTAAGTATAACAGCATACATGGTGATCTCCAATGGTTTTTAAGGTTTAAACAGAAATCTCCATGAAATGATAAACTGAAATAAAACTGTCAAAGCAATTCTACAGTATTTTAGCGGAGTTGATTATATCAGCACTATGCTCTACTGAAACTCGTAATACCCTGTTAAATGTTTTATATTCTTCTGTTGTCCAAAAGCATAGCAAAAATTCTAATAGGATAGTATTCAATTACTTCCCATTGAGTGTAAAAATACTCACCCATCAGGTTGGCCCTGTTTTAGAGCCTGGCAGTAGATGATTTTCACCAGAACACGTTAGTTAAATGCTTTCAGTTGATGCATTTAAACCCTCAGTAAAAACCTGGGCTCTCTGAAAGCACAAACAGTATCTTACAAGAGTGAGCTTAGTGCCATCTCATTAATCAGTGCTTGCATTGCTGGCTTTTCTTCAAGAGCTTGTACACAGTGTCTCTCCTCATTTTTGCTATGCAAGGCAAAAATAAGTTTCAACATCGTTATGTGTTCATCTTTTTGGTTTTTTTCTATATTGAGCCAGCTTTTGAACAGAATCTGCTTTGTGCATGTCAGTCAGTTATTCAGGCTGTCAGATGGGGCACAGGCTGCTGAAAGCGTGTATGTGCACAACACTTTTGGGGCAATGGCTGAGAAGGAAAGGTACAAGTGGCTAGAAAATGTCAGCAGTTTGTGTCACTTAGAAAGGGAAAGGTGGCTGAAAGCAGCCAGCCTGGCAGAACTTGCTTCAGTGATAAAGACTTGAATGAAAGCATGTCTGTCGTTTCTATGCTCAGCGGATAATTGCATTTGGAAGCTGTGCTTAATGTAGTGAGAAGGGAAAACAGAACTAGAATCTGGGCACACTCTGCATATCTCTCTGGATTTGCTTTGGCCATAAGGCTTGAGAAAGAGCCTTACCAAAAGATCTGTTGCTTTGGCAAGTACACAAACATGATCTTAAAATTAATAACTTTTTTCATGTTTAGTTTTTCAAGCAAGCTTCTGCCTAGGGGCCAAAATATCAGGATTTTTTTTTTTTTCAATCATTCATCTAGAGATGAAATAGGTGCAGGAATATTTCTGTATTCAGTCATCAAGTTCCCTCTGCATTTCCAGAATTTGAAATATTAGGAAAAATTTGAAGTTTCCTGTAGGTTTCTTGACTTTTGGTAGGTTTTAGTAGCCTTTTACAGTTGGCAGTTACTGAAGCTGCAGCTCATTTTCTCTAGTGCACTCCACTGAAATCCACCTTTCAAATCTGTGTGTGCTTTCTTTTCTGCTGCTGTACCTCCTGCCAGCAAGTGCGGGTGACAAGTCATTAAATATAAGAGAGTTGTTAGCAAAAAAAATTATTTAGTAAGAGACTTATGTCTGACCTGCTTCCCCAAAACCAATTATGTCTCCCTGGCAACAGTCACAAGTGTGTGACAAAATAGTCAAGATTTCTTTACAGAAAAATTAAAATACTTAAAATGTCACTTCTCAAGGAAGCATTCTATTTTATACTCAGCTTTCAAAAGTGCATAGCATGCTTATATGAAGACACACCTTGTGGCTCAATGGAACATCATCAGCTAATGCATCAAAGTACCCTCTCCACAACAAACAGGGCCTGCTGCAGCACAGCCAGGAGAATTAACGTGTGCTCAGAGGTGGGTATTTTTTTCTGAAATCAACTTTAGAATAGCTCCAGTACTGTAATGGCGATGGCTTAGGCTACAACTTCATCATCCTGTTTTTTCCTATGAAATCAGCCTAAAGTATCTCCACAGTACACCACAAATATTTTAATAGTACATAACAATACTAAACAAAATCATAATTGAGATGAATTTACCACTCTGGTGTACAGAGAGATTACAGCATTGAAAATCATAGCCAAGAAAAGTAGGTGTTTTTGTGTAGAAAAATTTCAATGGTCTTTTCCTGTATGATTTCAATTATCACTATTCAAGGCTTCCAAGTTCTATGACATTAATATCAGCGGTTCTTCACAGATGCAGGAATTCCAGTGACCTAAATGTTACACAGAAATCCTAGTCACTATTTCTAAACTGCTTAAAAAGTCTCCCAAAAGCCATTTGACAACAAGATTATCTGCAGCCAGTGTCTTAGCTCTGCTGGATAATTGCACAACTCAACCATGTTCAGCTGACATTACAGCCGTTAGTATCTCACTATTACATTGTAGGGGGAAAACCCCATAATTAGAGTTTTTTGTTTACTTTTCTGATAGAATTTACCATCTATGTGTATTTTAATTTTTTTTTTTTTTTTTTTTTTTTGTACCTAGGATTAAAGTTTTGGATTCATTTGAGGGCTGGAATGAAGTTGCTCTGGGTTTTGATCATTGTGATCAGCCAACTCCAACTACTGGAAGGAGGAGCAAAAGCATCCCTGTCTGCAGGTCTGTAATAGTGATTGTTGTATCAGGTAATGCTTCTACAACTCTATTTCTCATCTCCCTACAGAACACAAAAATAGAATGGCCTGTTAGCATTAAAATGTTTACAAGGTTATATCCTTGAGAAGGCAATGATATAATTATATTATATATAATTATATATATATAGTATATATAATATATATATAATAAATATATTATAATTATATATTATATAAATATATTATAATCACACAGTGGGCTGCAGTTTAGTACAGTTGCATTATCTCTGTTTTAGTTTTGAATGATGGGTACTTTCTCATTTCAAGTGGGATACGGGGACTAAAACTTGGCTTTTCTGATGAGGCTAAAAAGAAGCCTTAGAATAATTTTATGTTTGTACAGAAAAAGTGCAGCAGGTGACAGAGCAGGGGGCATGCGGCCACTGGTCCACAAACAATTAAAGGGACTCTTCACTGCCTGGAAAGCACAGTGCAGAAAGGACAGGCTCTCAAGTTGTCAAAGAGCAAGAAAGCCAGGGTTAAGAAATACCAGTACCAGGTAATCTCCACATGAACAGCAGCAAATTGGTTTTGCTGTTGTTTACCATAAATTCCCCTCTACTTTGACTTGTAATGTCCTTTTTCCACCAATCAAACTAATAACCTATTTGTACTTATAAATATCTTAATCAGCAAGTAAATGGCATTTCCATACGATCTGTCCATCTCCCTCCCCTCTCTATATCAACAATAACAAGGCAACGCTGTTCCCCCACCACCAGCACATGTAGTTACTGTGGTAACCTCACGCAGCACCCCTCTGAGCTGCTGCTGCCTCCCAGATGAGCCTTGCTGTATCCTTCACTGGAACACTACAGTAGCAAGTTAATCCCTGTCTTTTCCATAAAAAGTATGGAACAAATAAATGCACTTAGAACTTGGCAGTTTAAAACTAATTGGGCATCTAATTATATAGCACCCTGTTTACCTCCCACAAAAATCTTTGCCTCACTGAGACCATGCAGGGGCAGAAGGAAATTGAGGGTGGTATCTGTAATCCTTACCATTTCTTCGCTTGACTGGTGACCTAAATAAAACTTTCAGTATTAGGTTTTTCCAAGATGTAATTTATACTATGGCTGTCAGGAGTTAAGATAGCAGTTGCCATGGAGCTTTAATCTTTTTTTAGGCTTTAGTCAAAGGAAGCTGGAAGTCTGCATGGTGAGTAGAGCCCTGCTCAACTGAATTTTATTTAAATTGGTACAGGATTTCACCCTAATTTTCCTAGTGGAATTTATTCTCAAAAGTTCTCAAATTCATTTTAGTCTGTTCTTTCTCTCAGCAAGAGATGAGAGTTTCTTTTTAGGCTTCTTAAATCACATTACATTCAAACACAGAAGGACCCGTTGCTTCCCATCTCCTCCAACTATAACCTGTAACTTTCTGCTAGTTTTATACACGTGGCTTATCACTGGAGTGAATTCACTTACTAGTTCTACCATTTTCAGTGGAGGTTTCTGTAACAATAAAACATTTTGGAGAAATTTGTTTTCTAAGTGCCCAGTAAGCGCTAATCCATACACTGTAAAATAGGCTGTTAGTAAAGGAGAAGTAATTACTTGAATCTGTATGGGTGCTTCATGTATAGAACTTCATGTATGTTTAAGAAAAACAGAAGTGTGCAATGAGTGAAGTACCTCTCTGAGAAATACAAAATTGGCCATGCTACAGTCAGTGACTGCTAGAGTGCAGTGCTGTCTCATTTCTTGCTGCTTGCAGCAGAAGAGATGCGAGTTCAGTCTGATGTCTGCAGTTAAAACTTCAAACGTTCCCTACTTAGTAAACCTACTTAGAACGAATGCAAGAAGATGAAGATCTAGGTATCCTATTTCTAAGCTATAACAGAAGAGTTCTTTTTTCTTTTTTTCCTGAGAGCCAATGACTAAATAGGGTGCCTTCTGGGACTAATACATATGTCACTTGAGCTGAAAACAAGATTCAGCAAGAGCTACCAAGATAGTATTAGCTTTGACATATGCAACAGAAAAATGTCAGACTTTCTGACACGATAAAGTGTCTTCAGGATCTGGAGGAGCTTTTATCATTGCTCTGTTAGATACAGGTATGCCAAATAGCACAGAGGGGGGAAAAAATCTACGTTGAATTGCATCATTTAAAGCAAGAAGGATTTTCATGTGAAACCTATGGAATTTTCTTCAACCTGAAGTGTCAGTATCAAAAACTTCCTGAGCTACTAGAGATAAAAGACACGTACGCAGATGAGAGGGAGAAAGAACTCGAAGCCCTTAACTTTGCTAATGTGGCAGTTGCTATATTTTAATCCCAAACAGACTGGTTGGACTTCAGGGGAAACTGAACAGGGCACAGTTCAGTCCAACTGAGTCTGAAGAACAGAATCTCACATTAAGACTTTAAAAATCTGATCTATTACTGCCAGCAGTGGAACAAGTTATGGTGGTGCCAAAGTGCTCACTTTCCTGAATTCAGGTGGACTGCAATATGTTCTTTAAAGCTGAAACTAGTGACACTTAAAAGGAGAGATCTTCAGAATTAGTAAATGCCATCTTCACAAAGGCCTCATTCATAGATAAATTCAGATAAAACTTGGATTTTCACTTACCAAACTTCCATACAAGCTTCGAGACTTGGCAGTAACACATTCACCAGTTTGGAATGTATAGGTAATGTGTTTGGCTGGGAAACTGTTGGAAGTAGCTTAAATAGAGGAATTATTGTGCTTTTTAGCAACTAATAGGCATGAACACATATTGGCATGTTGAAGACTACATGTAAGATATTTGTACCTATTGTAACTGATAATCAACCATTCAGGTACCTTACACAATAGATTTAAAGCAAGACACAGTAATTGGAGGAGTTGTCTATGGGTCTTGTGTAGTGTTCAAGACCAGCCCAGAAAAATGCAGTAAATACTGGAGATACCAAAATGGCCTCACAATATAGGTAGTAAATACAATTGAATGGCTCATCTTGCCTTCAAAACACTATTAGTTCTTTCTGTTAGCTCTTTTTTTTTCCTCTTTGGTATAAAGTGTGATTAAATGACTGTTTTGTCATGATTGGGATCCATGGGACAGTGATCAAGAAATGCTCTTGATCTGGTGCCAGTCTTTATAGTTTATGAGGACCTTTTGCTGATGATGAATTCATGTTACTTCAAAACTGAGAGGCAAAAATCAACGTAAGTGCACCATATTTTCATAAACTCAAAACAAAAGCTAAGCTTGACATCTGATCCACACTGAATTAAGGTGAAGTAATTTTCACACAGGAAGCAGTTTCCTTTTCAGTTTCCTTTTCTATCTGTATACACTTCTATCAACTCCCACTTTGTTGCCCAGATTTTTTTTGTAACAAGCTTGTTTTGCTTCATGATATCCAATACACATTTTTCAAGCTTTCCTGATTTACCAGCATTTATTTCAACTTCATTAGTGAGATTCGTGCTTGTCAGAAAAGGAGTGCAACATCAAGAAGCAACATATGAGTTCTCCACTTACTCTTGTTTTCATAGCAGCATCTCATGTGTCTTCAGTAATTACCATTGAACTTGCACAAAAACAGATGTAAAACCCCAAAATCTGGAGTTTGGCAGTGAAATGCTAAATGCCAGATCACATCAGGTTTTAGCAATGATTTGGGAGTATTTAAAAGCAGTCATTTTAGATGCACCCGTATATATTTGAAGTACCTTGCTGGCTTGCTTGTAGTACTGAATTACTGCTGCTTTTTAGTGATGTTAGGTATTAGGAAGGCATATGCTGTTTCCCCAGCATATCTTCACTGGGAACTTTAAGAATTCATACATCCTAGCAGTAGAGCTGTTAGCATACAATCTCTCTAATGCAGGGCTTCTTTCTTTATTTGAACCACTTTGAAACAATCTAAACTTTTCTTTCTGTAACACCACAGCATACATTGTTCATACCTCACCAGTTACTTCAGGTGATCATATAAGGCTCCTGAACTCTCTTCTTTTGTCTTCAAGCAAGTATTCTTGATATACCTAGTAGAATTTCAAGCACCCTTTTCAAGATAAATCAGTAATATTAATAGTTACAATTTCACTGTTGCTTTGTTACTGTAATTTCAGTGTTTACTTGAATAGGTGTGTTTCTTGTCTGTTTTTGTTTTAATGCCAGCAAGCATCACCATTCTACATGCACTGCTTACTGTAGAGGCTGGTCTACATAATAAAACTAAAACTTTAGAGCAACAACTCAGAAACAGTCACTTCACACTTCCTTGCATATGTTACCTAATATTACTTGCAAATGCTAAGTCCTGTTAAGGAATCAGATTCTAATTGTGGAAATATGCCCAGTATTTCATGTAGCTGTAGTAGTTGGAGATGTGCACACTGATTGATACCATGTGGCCAAGAAGCACTAAGTGCAGCACACCCAGCCCTCCAGCCCCAGCTGGGACAGCCCTCTAGTGGAGATGCAGGAGTGAGTTCTGATGGGATTCCATTGTGGCTTGCTTCTGGTCCTCTATCTTCCAGGCTGTTCTCAACTCAGCATAACTGCTTTCCAGTCAGGCTTGAGAGGTGATCTCTCTTCTTCCCCTGTGCCCTCACAGATCACCTTAGCAGCAAAAAAATAGAGGCCTTAAGAGCACTTGCAGCCCACCTGCAGCAGGTGTGCAGGTGATCTCTAGTTTCCTTGCCAAGACCACCTGGGTGCAGGCAGTCTCTCCAGAAGAGCACTGCTGAGCAATAACTCTAAGCGTAAGTTTCAGTACACCATTTATGTCTTTCTTCTCTGTGTCTCCTATTGCAAAGGAACAGAAGCAGCTGCTTCCATCATTTTTATTTTTTCCAGTTCTGCTGTGAGGTAGAGGTGAAAAAAATAAATACTTTTTTTTTTTTTTTTTTTTTTTTTTTTTTTTTTTTTTACTACTAGCCAAGTTTAGACACTACCATTATACTTCAGGACAATACTATTACTAAGCCTGTAAGAAACCCGCTGGGATTTGTTTACTTGCTTTATTCCCATCATGCTTATATTTGTTCTTTTAATTATTTTAGTATTTACTTTCAGGCTTTTTAGATAGTTGCTGAAGTCCGAGAACTGTGGTGCTGTGCCTAAATCTGGGTGTGGCCACACACCAAAAAATACCATTGAAGAAAAAGCAAAGCTAATGTCCCAGAGAAAAATCAAACTTATTTCAGCTCTTTAGAGATCATGATGAAAGTCTCGTCACATTTGCAATTGCTGTTCCCTGAGATGTCTACATCCCCTCTGAAGGGATCATTCTGCTACTTCTGGGCTTCTATAGACAGTGGCAAAAATATATATAAAAAAAAACCTTAATAAAGACCTACAGAACCCCAACAAAACCCCCTGTGAATATCCAGTACTGCTTACACGCACCACAAGTCTGTCAAATTCAGAAATTGACTCCAAAGTGTAAAGTCACAAAGACAATAGTTTAATATCAACCAAAAAAAAGCTTAAGTTAGTGGTATTTTCTTTCTTGAAATAACATACTGTCATACGAGAGTCACTGAAGAGGTCTGCTTTTAGCTCGGAAGACTTTTACAGTTACAGCCGAATTAAAAACCCCTATTTCTAAACGCGTGATGGTAACACAAAAACCGGAAACTTAAGACATGGGATGAAGAACAAACGCAGTTGTTAAGATGACAGCAGTTAGGTGAGGCATTTCACTGCCTTCTCCCTAGCGTGGAAAGAAGTTCTCCAGTATCTTTCCCACCACCATTATTTCCAGATTCACAAGTGGTTGTTTTTAAAATACTACCGGGGGTCAAATTGCAATCAAGCGCCGTATGCTTGTAATGTCTTCTGTGAAGGTCTGAAGCCACCCTGTTTCAACTATTTGGTTACTCAGTGCAGAAAGTTAAAGATCACAGAAGGTATAACAGCTTTTAATACTCCATTAATATTATAGATTAAAAATTATTGCATAGTCTTATGCATCTCCTAAAACAGCATTCTCTGGAAATTAAACATTTCAATATAAAAGGAGCAACTCTTTAAAACACGAATTGCATTCACTACCTCGATCTTCTATCCTTTTTTGATTTGTCAGTACATTTGTCCATAGTTTTCTCGTTATCTCCTCTGCACTTGGGGCAATACCATTTCCCCTTAGGTTTGTAGGTGAGTCCGACACACGAGAAGTGGAACCACTCGATAGGACACTGTTCGTTATCACATCCTATCATTTCGCCGTAGGACACTTGGTTGCATAAGCAGTAAGTGGGTTCATTGGGATCAATTGCAAATTCTACGGGTGAAACCTCCCTCTCCTGTTTGGCTTTGGAGCGTTTTTTCTTCTTGGAAGATTTCGATCTTTTCTCCTTAGGCGGCTGATCGTCGCAGTCATCGATGCCGTTTGCTATGTGGCACAGGTCGCGGCTCTCACTGGTGCGCTGCCGACGAGGTCTACGTGAAGATCTCTCTGGCTGGCAGGATTCCATCTTTGCCTTTTCTAGAGGCTTGTCGTTTTCAGACAGATCTTGAAAACACTGAGAGTGTGTTTCCATCTGTCGGGCTCTATTCTCTACCAGTTCCAGCATCTGAGTAACTATTTGAATTTTTTCATCTCCCAGTTCTTGACTGTTGATTAAAGCACGCTGGAGATGCTGCTGCAGGCGTTTCTTCTGAACAGGATCGTTCTCGGACTTGTATTTCTCATAGACATCATCTATTTCTTTTAAAGCTTCTGCAAAGATAACGTAACACAAATAATTAGATAGAAGGTACATTCCTGTATTTTCTTGAGCACGTATAAACCAATGAGAAATAGTATGAGTTTTAATTAGTGGGCTTCATCAGGTGTTTTATTCAAGTTACACCTGAGCACCACTTCAGTGTTTAAGGTGGTAATCTGTTGCATGAAAAGTTTCTCAAGTTCTCAACAAAAAGCAAGATAATTTTGACTGCTGGAAAAAGGAAAGGGTAAGACCAGAAAGGTGACCAGTGCTGCCAAAGTGAAGTTAGTCCAAATACTAACTTAGCATCTGACAAAGCAGGAATTTTTGCTGAGATTCCTTATTAGGGTAGTTACAAAGCCCTGGCCTAGAAACCAAAGCTTACCATACTATAGGAAGAAGTTTAGAATTCACTATCATCACACGTAATTCATGTAGCCATCATATTACACTGCAGAATTAGGGTATGAAGGTCCTCTGCCTCCTCCTTACACACGTGAAGGTTTGGCATTACCTTTTCAACAGCTCTTTGTTGTAACTAAGTACGACAGTGGAAGTGACACACTAGCAGGTGTAGAGTCAGGATTTAAAACAACTTAAACCACTGCAAGTGGTGCTCACTGTATGAAGAAGTTACAGCAAGTTGTGTGAGGCAGAACTTTTCAGAATAGGTGACCTGCAGCTTAATGCATCACAGGATGTTTTCAAGCTGCTGGTAGCAAGCGCTTCACGGTTCCACTCCCAGGCTTTTTGCCTTTTTTTTTTTTTTGCACGCCACACAAATCACAGAACTTAGGCCTTCAAAGCATGTTGAATGAACCCAAATATGAGGCTAACAAATACCTTACAGGTCTGCCTTTTTCTGTTCTCCACATTTGCCATTTTGATGGATTTTAAAACAATATTTTCCAGACCAAAAGTGACACTAGATCTACATAGGAAAGATGGAGGAACTGCTGAAGCAGAAGGAACTAAATCAGTAGAGCTGACAGCAAGATGTGGTGGGGTGCTAGATACAGTACTGATTCCTGCACAAATAACTTACAGATTTGTAACGGGTAAGTGAATTTACGAACTACTTCCACAGCCACGTACGCAGAACAGTTTCTCTTTCTGCAAACCTCTGTTTTACAAACAGCCTTTCATTTTTAAGTAATTGTCTGCTTTGTACAGTTTTGGAATGATTCGAGCTCGCACTAAATGGAAGCCATAGTTATTATCTCAATGTTGTTCACAGTGATTTCTTTTCCTGCTGACATCTTGAAACAGCAGCTTAAGAGGGAACCGCCGCTTTTTATTATAAATTCTGAAACCTGCATGGAAACAGAAACCAACAGCACTTTGTTCTACTCCAGATCTTCACCAGAGGAAGACAAAGTCAGTGCTCTGCCCATCTAATAACTCACACAGCCTATTTTGCCCTCAATGCCAGTTCTCCAGCTGTCACTGAAGACCCAGGCTTTGTTTGCCTACAGCTTCAGCTGCATCCGCTGCCTTGACAGGGAAAAAATTTTGCTCCTGAAAAGTGCCAAGTAAGGCACTCTGCAGTCTGAAGAACTAGAAAGACATCATCAGAGGACAATATTCTGCTGCCACTTTATCTCCTGTCCAGCCCTCTGCAAGGCATAAAGCACACTGTAAGCGTAGCTGCAGATGTCCCGCACATGGAATGCCCTGCCTGGGAGAACCCATGGGCACTCACTGCTTTTTCATAATGACAGAGAAAAAAAATCCCTCTGCATTACTGACACCTTTTGGATCGGTCACTCCCTGGATGCAGCTGATAGATACACACCAAACACCTTAAATGCACCACGTGCAGGTGAAACACCCTCCCATTCTCCAGAGGGTAGCCAAGTTTCTAACTGGCGGATGGAGGAAAAATTTTGTACCCGCAGAGATACAACTTCACTCAAGTACTTCCTTATTAATCCCTTATTAATTGGAGGAGGCACCCGTGTCCAGCTAGACAGCTTTAAAGCCTCTGGTTACAAAAAAGGCTAAAAATAACAAACCAGGACCAAGTGTCCATTACAGTTAATCTACTCAAGTTTAGTGGAGCAGAGAAAAAACTAAAAGGGTTCCAACTTCCTCAGCACGGGAGCAGCTTTGCAAGCTCCCTCCTGCAAGCACCATCTCTGCTATTTACGCTGACCCAGACCACACGAGGGTACTTTAAGGGGATCCCGGGGCCCGGGCAGCGCAGCCCACGCTCCTGCCTCACTGGGACAAGCTCCCACCCGCCCTGTCAGCAGCTCGGCGCCGCGCAGCCTCCGCGGCACGTTTCAGCGACGGTGGATACTTGCAGTGGGGCAGCACGGCAGTAACTAGAAATACAAACCCCACGGCTGTGCAGCCCGACGGCACGAGGTGGAGGGAGCGCAACCCCTACAGAGCAGGCGTTTAGGAAGCAACGGTGTCCCTGCCCGCAGTCGCGGCCGACTCCCGCCTGACTCCCGCGTGTCCCGACGGGCACGGCGCCCGCAGCGCCCGGCGCGGGGCGTTGAACTAGGGCTCGTAGCGGCCCCGCACCCCCCGGGCCGCGGACGCACGAGCAGGGAGGCCGCGCTAAGGCTGAGCGCTGCGGTTGGAGCGGTTCGACCAACGCGGGGTGCCGAGGCGGGCAGCGAGCGGCGGACCGTGCCGCAGCTCCGCACCTCGTGCTCGCAAGCTGCACCCCCGCCTCCTCCGCGGGGCCGCGTCCGACGCTTCCCCTTCCACCCCCCTCTTGGTTTTACGCCGAGAAGGGAGGCCGGGGCCTAACGCCGGGCGCGGAGGCTCCGCAGCTCCGGCTCCCCGCTCCGCGAGGGGCGGGGCTCCTCCCTGGCGGACGCCGAACGCGGCGCCCCGGCGACGCCGCCGCCCCCCGAGCGGGCCCGGCGAGGGGCCGCAGCCCGGAGCCCCGCTCCCCGCGCCGAGCGCATGTGCGGCGGGCGGCCGCTCCCCCCGCGCCGCCCTGCCCTCCGGTCCCTCCCTCCCCTCCCGCTGCCCCGCGACGGAGGCCGAGTCCCGGAGCCCACCTTGGCACCGGGTGTCCACCTCCCGCAGCAGCGACACGTTGCGCTGGATGTCCAGCGGCAGCGACTCCACGCACTCCAGGTAGTCCTGCACGTAGAGCGAGAGCAGCCGGGCCCGCTCCCCGCCCGGCGCCGCCGGCCCCGCCACCAGCTGCGGCCCCGCCAGCATCATCCCCTCGCGCCAGCCGCACATCCACTGCCGGCACCGGCTCACGGGACAGCCCCCGCTCGGCCCGGCTCCGATCTCCGGTCCCCGCTCCTCCACCTTCTGCCGCCGCCCCTGTGCCCGCCGGCGGCCGGACCGCTCCGGGCCGCTGGGTGAGTGCGCCTCCGGGCCGGCCTGCCCCGCCGCGGGGTCCCGCACCCCTTCCCGCCCCTGCGGAACGGCGGCCGCCACCGCCGAAGCAAAACCCACTTGGAGCCCCCGCCCCTGGTCGCCTAGCTACGCGCATGCGCGAGGCCCTGCCCTTATAAGGCGCGGCTAGAGGCGCTGCGAGGGGTTCGCATTCTCCCGCCTTCCTCTCTCGTGTGCTCCTATTGGCCCGGCTGGCGGGAGGGGGCGGGATACGCTTCAGGGGCGGGACCTCTCTTAAAGGCCCACGCGCTCTCCTTTTCTCCTCCCGCTCTGTCGACGGCTGAGCGCCGACTCCGCCGGGAGCAGCACGGGGTCGCTCCCCAACAGAGGTACCTGCCGAGCGGCTCTCGACACCGCGCGGCCCCACGGCGGCGGGCGGAGGGACGGTTATGAGGCATTGGCTCGCCCCGCCCCTCCCCAGGTGCCCCGGTAGCGCCGCGCGTGGGCGGGCGGCGGTTGTGGGGGCGCTGAGGCGCGGGATCCTCCGCGGGTGCGGCGGCGTTCGTTCCTCTGCACCCGCTTCGGGAAAGTCTCTGAGCACATCCTTGGCTTTCGGCTCGCGCTAACGGGGTGTCCTGGGACGGCGGCTTTCGGAATCCGCATCTGAGGCGTTGAGTAATGGCTGTCCGCAGACGTCTTTGCCCGAGTTAGCAGCGTGTTGGCGAGTGCGTGAAAAGGAGTGTAAACAAGGTTGTAGGCAGAGCTTTCACGGATTCGGAAAATGAAGGGTAGTAATGAGTGTGAATGGCTGCAGCGTTCTGCTCTATCGTGAGGAAATAAAGCTGAGAAACAGATTCCTGCTACGCAGCAGAGAAGTAAAGCAAAATATGCTAATTAAAAATTCGGCGTCAATTACAGACTGTGCTGCAGCCTGATAGCCCCTGTGACCCGGCTTCATCTGTTCTTTTGGTGGCTGTTCACCCTTCCACTGAAAAGCCTAGGAAGCATTTCAGCCTATGAAAATAATAAAAAAATACAGCATTGCTGATGAAGACCAGTCTAATAAGGGATTGTAGTTACACACCTAGCATTTAGTGCAAATGCTCAAACGATGATATTGTGCTCCTTCTAAGCTGATGGATCATTATTGACTATATGTGATATCCTAACCAGTACATCTCTTAAAAACACTTGGAGCTCAGGAGGCTCAGGAAGTGTCCTGCAAGGGCGGGAGTCTGACCCCAGCTTGCTGAGTCCTCACTGATTGATTGTTCTGGCTGACACCCAAGTCCATGTGAAACAGGAGCTTTTGCTTCTCTGAGAAGGGTACTTCCTCCATCATACAGAACATAGATGTGTCCAGCCATAGCTGAACTAACATGTCTCTTTTTTTCCTTCCCTAGAAACAGCTTTCACACAGTGACTCAGCAACAGGTTGCCCAAGGAGGTTGTGGATGCCCCAACTCTGGAGGCATTCAAGGCCAGGCTGGATGTGGCTCTGGGCAGCCTTGTCTGGTGTTTGGTGACCCTGCACATAGCAGGGGGGTTGAAAATACATGATCATTGAGGTCCTTTTCAACCCAGGCCATTCTGTGATTCTATGACTCTTCCACCTTATTTACTGCTTTAAAAGATAAACAGTTGATGGATTTACAGAGTGTGTGACCATCCCAAATGTCTTGGAAAGTATGCAGCTGAAGTTTAGGTGACCAATGGTAATGAATTAGTCTCATGGAAATATGTCACAATCATGTTATCTTCTGGAGTCCTGAAGCTTGATCCTCCTCCCTTCAAGTCAACAGGAGAATCTGGTTGACTGATGGAAAAGAGCAGAGCCCTTACTGCAAAGGATAAGCAAATGATTTTTTAATGTGTTCTTACACAAGCTACATTTTAGGGTCCATACTGATTTCTACCACACAGCATGTGAAAATCACATTGTTATTTCTTGTGAGGATCAAACATACACACCTCTATCATTAAGTTTGTGAAATGAGAGCACCCAGAGCACCTGCTGGAAGTTTGAATAGCTTATCAGATAGTTTCATTTAGACTATAGGCTATTAATTAAGAGTTTTAAGAGTTAATTACCAAGATGCATTCAAGAATTTCTCAACATACAAGGTTACTCTATGCTGATGTATCACCTAGTACCATAGTTAATTACTACTATGCTATGAAAAGCATTTCAAAAGACAGTGAATAAAACCGTAAAATAATTGAGTTCATGCATTTGGAACAACACCAATCACCTGATGAAAGCGTGGCTTAAAGAATTCATAATACTGTCATGTATGTGGATGTTTTCCTTTTCACATCAGGAAATAAAGGTGGGAATAATCCACTGTAAACACGCCTTGCCCTAAAAATGTCTGCACTGACTTTAAGGGGAGCACAGGTCTATTGTCACAGATGTCTGCAAAATGAATTCCATTCCGTATACGGAAATGGGGTAATTAG